AAGAAAGGTTGTTTCCTTCCCAGCAAAGCCAAGAACACCTGAGTCTGTCTTAGACCAAGAGACACTTCAGTGTATTCATAATACTTTCCAAAATTGGGTGACTTTGTGGGGTCTTTTTTCTTTGTTGTTGTGTGATTCTTAGGCATTTCTATAGTGGCTAACATATCAATGGCCTTCAAATATTTAATGAAGAAATGAATGGATTTGCTTAATATGATGAACTATCAAGACAGTCTGCCCTCCGTATCTTTAGGCTCCACCTGCTGGAATTCAGGAAACCACTGATGGAAAATACTCAGGGGGAAAATTGTATGTTTGTTTTCCAAAGGTACTCTGTAGATAGGCCTGCAGTAATTGCTTCTGTATTGAACCTGTATAGATTTTTTTCTTGTCACTATACCCTAATCAATACAATATAACAACTATTTACATAGCGTTTACATTGTATTATATAATATAAGTAATCTAAGAGATAAGTAATAAGTAATCTAGATATATGTAAGTTGTATACACATACTACACTATTTTAAATAAGGGATTTGAGCATCTGTGGATTCTGTGTTCATGAGGGGCCCTGAAACTAATCTCCCACAAATAAAGAGGGACAACTGTGTATAGTCCATTCCATTTAAATAAATAGCAATAACAAACACTGAGGGGCTGGGGTTATAACTCAGTGGTAGAGCACTTGTCTAGCATGTGTGAGGTACTGGGTTCGATCCTCTGCACCACATTAAAAATAAATAAATAAAATAAAGGTATGTGTCCATCTACAACTAAAAAAGTTTAAAAGAAAAGAAGCACCTGAATTTTCATATTCCATCCCATTTACTCGACTCTTGTTTCACTGTATGCTTTAGATAGAAAGCCACAGACCGTGAATGAAGAAAATCATCCAGATTCCTGTGAAGAAATAAAAAGTCTTTTAAGTGCCTTCCCATTACCACTTCTTAAGGCTGACAATTAGTAACTTTCTCAAAAATAGCTACATATCACTGTGCCAGGGAAAGAAGAAAAGGTGGCACTTAACAGTGAGAACTCTTTAGTCATACTTGGTTTTTATTCAAGCTGTACAGCATAATAGCTAGCAGTATAACTTTCTTCTAAAATAAGGTTTCTTCATAGGGTTACTAAGAAGACATCTTCAAAGAACTTAGACCAGCACCTAGTACAACATAGTGAAGCACTTTTAAAGGAGATAAGGACTTGCACTGGGGTTGTGGCCCAATGGTAAAGCATTTGCCTAGCATGCATGAGATGCTGGGTTTGACTTCCCCAGAACTGCCAAATAAATAGAGAGAGATGGGAACTGGGGTTGGGGCTCACTGGTAGATTACTTGCCTGGCATGTGTGAGGCACTGGGTTCAATTCTCAGCACCACATAAAAATAAATGAATGAAATAAAGGTCTATCAACGTCTTAAAAATGTTTTTTAAAAAAGAGAGAAAGATGGACAAAATAATCATGTAGCAAATCTTTATTGGATTACTCTTGTCTGCAGACAGTATGATGTGGGGCTGGGACAGCTGGGAGTTCAGACTGTATTTTTCCTCCACACTCTACTTCCCTCTAATCTGGTTTATAAGTGAAATAATAATGACAATAATGGTAATATCAAAAACTACTGTCATTTTCTGAGTACCTTCTGTGTTTCAATAGCTTTATATTTGTTTTCTACTTATATTATTACAACTTTCTTGATAGTAATAGTGTTACCATTTTATAAATGAGAAAATCAAGGCTCTGAGAAGTTAAGTAATCTGCCCAAGATACATGCCTAAGTAGAAAACCCAGGGTTTGGTCCCAAATTTGCCTGACTGCAGAGTCTTACTTAATCCATTCATCAGGTGATTATAAATATATTTGAAATGCCCTGACAAGGTTGTAGAAGACCTCTACATATACGATATTGTAGTGCTTAGTGAGCCTGGTTACATTTTGGTGTTTCTTTTAATATTCCCGCAATCTCAAGTTCCTGTTGAAAGTTACTACAGAAAATAGTACACAATGCTTAGTACTTCTCTTCCTGTGAATGAACTGCTTTGTTGGTCCTAAGTCTACAAAACCAGTATTGCAACTGAACTACTACAGGCATGGTGATGCTTTCCTAGCTCTCCCTCTCCTGCTATGAATTGCGCCAAGGAGAGAGCCAAAGACCACATTGACCAAACCACCTTCCTGACAGGCCTGCCCCCACCCCCATCAGACTTTTGTGAATTTCACCAGGATGTGGGGAAGATCAGAATGAAGTGGCTCTATAAGGACTCTTTGAGATTGAAATTTCACAATGCTATTTGGAGGGTATTTTCAACTTACACATTCTAAAACTCAGCCTGTGATTATGGTTTAAAGTACAACCATTTTAGTTCCTATTTCAGGATCTCCACACATACACACCCCAGAATTTCTTATGCTTTTCAGTGTAACTGAAATTAACCTTTTCTTCCTTAAACCAGATTCTTGAACATCTAGTCCTTGACTCATTTGAGACTGTGGTTTTCCAGAAAATAAGAAACATGTATCTCTGTGTGTACATGTGGGTTCCAAGGTGAATAGGAGTGGTTAGTCCTAAGTTGCATAGAGAAGGTAAACTCTCTGACAGCCATTTTGGAAATTGGAACACAGAACTGAACTGAGGATACACTGTGAAGAGTTCTCATTGGCTTCCCTTTGCCTCCTGATCCACAATGTGATTCCACCAGGTTTAGACTGTGTCAAACATTCTTTTCACAGATGCACTCCCTTTTCTCTTCTGAACCTAAAAACTATTACTACACTTTTTCTACCCTTCCTGTATATTTCCTTGGGACTTCTTCTCTAAAAGACAATAGTTGGCAATAATGGTTTCACAGAAGGAGTGCTCACATTTCACATCTATGCTCTAGGCATTTTACATTCTTAATCTCATTTAATTTTCACAGCATCCTAACGGGTAGATGAATTATCTATCCCCACATTTATAAATAGGGAAGCTATGGTGTGGGGAAGTTAACTTCCCTAGGGTACAGGAAGTTAGAAAGTGGCAAAACTGAAAGTCACTTTATTCTCCCTGACTTCATGGTTGTGCTTTCCCCCATGAAGCTGAGATGATGAGGATTGTTACTGTTATTACTGTTAGGGCTGCTTGCTCCCAGTTCTTATGTCATCCAAGGGAGAGAGTACTTTGCGTGAGGTACAAATGTGCATGGTCTGAAGGTGTGAACTGAGCCGGAGTTCACATTAACACCATGGACCCTCGCAACAAGCTGCTGATTGAGTACTTTATTATTGCAACTTTACAAGTGGGGAAGCTAAGGCTCACCAAAATCCCAAAGCTAATCAGTCTGGCAATGGAAACTGGATCCAGTCCCTTGTGGGACATTTCTTAAAGTTTACTATGCATAACAATGCTGTGCACCAGCTGGGAGTAGTCAGTCCCTAAGATAGTACATGACAACATCAAACAGTAGGCATGTAGCTTACAAAAAGTTAGAATATATTTTTCCAGTTAGAACATGAGATTGTACAAAGGCTTAGCAAGATAGGAAACTTGAATTCATGCCAAAGCTCACTAAATTTTTTTGTGCTTTTTTTTTGGAGGATGAGGGTACCAGAGATTGAACTCAGGGGCACTCAACCCCTGAGCCGCATCCCTAACTCTTTTTTGCATTTTATTTAGAGACAAGGTTTCACTGAGTTGCTTAGCACCTGACTGTTGCTGAGGCTGGCTTTGAACTCAAGGTCCTCCTGCCTCAGCCTCCCAAGCTGCTGGGATTACAGGTGTGCGCCACTGCACTGGGCTTTTTGTGCATATTGTACACATTTGAGTACAATGTTTCCAGAGTGCAGCTTGGTTTGTTTGTTTGTTTCTGTTTTTGTTTTTTGTATTTTTTTAGTTGTTGATAGACCTTTATTTTTTATTTATTCATTTATGTGTGGTGCTGAGAATCATCCCAATGCCTCACACATGCTGGACAAGCACTCTTAACACTGAGCTATAATCCCAGCCCTGTAACTTGACTTTTGGTTTGGTTTGGTTTGGTTACTGGAATTAAATCCAGCGGTGTTTTACTACTAGCTACATCCCCAGTCCTTTTTAATTAATTTATTTATTTATTCATTCATTTATTTTTTGAGACAAGGTCTCACTAAGTTGCCAAGGTTGACCCTGATCTTGGCATTTTTCTGCTTCAGCTTCCCATGTTGCCGGGAGATATTCAGAGAGCATTCTGCATATAAAAGTTGTAGATACCATATGAGGAGGAGTATAAGGGCAAGACTATTCACTGTTTTGAAGTATAATGCTGTTATATTCCATAAATGAGTAAATAAATGATAATGGTGCTAGGTGGCCTAAGGATGGAAAAATACCATCCTGGATGGCCATATGCCATCTGTATTAGTGAGTTATTCATATGGGTATCTGGTTAAAAACAGGTTGCATGGATGAACACTGAGAGAGTGATTGCTTAGGAAACTGTACTTGTTGCCTTAAAAGGATATAGATAGATAGATAGATAGATAGATAGATAGATAGATCTATATATATCTTGCTACCCCCAGGTAGTGGCTGTCAGAGCAGCCACAGTCACTTAAATATGTTTTACTCATCTGTTTTTTTCCTATAGAACATATGAGATTAAAAAATCTTTATCAATCAGCAAGTAATTGAAATTCTGTGATTATCAAATTCATGATGGTTATCCACACCAGCAAATTTTCTTTGAACCTTAAAAATACTTGCTTTTAAAAAGTCCTTTTCCAGTCTCTCATTCACTTTTTTGAGAAGAAACCTCAATTCATGTATACATTCATTCATCAATATTTATTGAGTACTTGAAATTTGTGGGTCATTGTGCTGATTGCTAGGGAAGCCTCCTCACTAGAGAGATGTCATCTCAGTTCTCACAGAGTGAATAGTGGTGACATTGTTAATGGAGCATATTATAAAATCTATTGCAGAGAAATGCAGTGTAGTTTGAGAGCATAGATGAAAGTAACATTTATTTCCATTCCAATAGATTTCGGTTTTGGAAATTTCTTTAAAAGTGGTGAACTGCTGGCAACATGGTGTGGCAGCCCCCCTTATGCAGCCCCAGAAGTCTTTGAAGGGCAGCAGTATGAAGGACCACAGCTGGATATTTGGGTATTGCTTTGCTTTGCTGTGTTAAATGCATCTATAATGATAATACTTGCTACTTTGGCCCATGGTAGAAACTCCTGGCACTTGACACATAAGCAGTATTTCATACGTTTCCCATCTGCTGGAGTGTAATTAGAGCATCTTGAAATCAATCCCTAGGAAAGAATTTCTAGGGACAGGTGTTATCATCCTAATATTAGCAATAATTTAAAGTTAAGCAGTAAGCAAAATGATGAAATTCAGATCATTTTTTATTTTTTATACTTATTGCAGTAGTCAGGGTTGGAGTTTCTTTCCCCCAAAATTCTGAGAAAGTAATAAATTTGGACAGGAATATTTCAGTCCATATGATTTTAAGAGCCCTGAGGATTTTGAGGAAGATAGAGTGTTTAAAGTTCTCCCTGGAAAGTGTACTGTTTTCTTCCCTAGAGCATGGGAGTTGTTTTGTACGTCCTGGTCTGTGGAGCTCTGCCTTTTGATGGACCAACTCTTCCAATTTTGAGGCAGAGAGTTTTGGAAGGAAGATTCCGGATTCCATATTTCATGTCAGAAGGTAACAAGTTGTCTCTTACTAATTGTGTACTTTATAGAATTTTTGTCCCAAATGAAATGCCTAGGCAAAAGCTTCCCTTTTTCTGAGATTTGGGTACAAATAAAATGACTTAGTCATTTTAAAAGCCATAGAAATAAGCTACCCACTCCATCATGTAGATGAGACAAGTTCCAGCCTCCCTACTTATAACTGAGAACAGAAGTTTCCCAGATTAAGAGCAGCAAGTCTTCCCATTCACTCTGGGTCTATAAATGTCCCATGTTTATTTTAGACTTATAGAAGCACTTCATAGATACAGGCTCACAACCATTTTACTCTAAGTACAAAATGGATTTTGCAAAATTAAAAAATTTTAAATTAAAAGCCAACTGGCAGAACTCTAGTGAATTGAGTTGAAATGCCATAATCCCTGCCTATCTGTATTGGGTTGTTACATAGGCAGTAGTTAAATTTACTCCTTAGTTTTGTGATTTTTTTTTTTTTTCCATCCTACCTCTGGTGTTCCTACTAATAGTAGAAGTAATGCTTTTGAGCAGATAAGAGCATGGTTTGTGGAGCTTTATATCCAGACTCTACCTGGTTTTAATCCTTACTCCACCACTCACAGCCGTATGGCTTTGGCAGTCATATTCCTTTCTTGGCTTCAATTCCTCATCTATAAAATGGAAATAATAATTGTTTCTACCCTAGGGTATCATGAGAATAATTACTCTGTACAAAGCACTTACCGTGGTGCTTGAGGTGTAGTGAGTGATATGACATCACCCCCTCGTGTGAGGGTGATGAAGAGCATGATATCAGCTCAGAGAATCAGCTAGTGCTCAGAGTTGCAGCAGTGCAGTTTTCCTAGTGTAATCAGAAGTAAATAATGTTTTGTGGACCTTTTTCTCAGCAGCACTCATGAGAAAAGCAACAGCCCACTGGAGATCTCTGTCTTACCTGCATAGCCTTAGTGTATCAGCCTTGGGTGTGACTGAGAAGCAATTTATCATTTTCTCATTCTAGGAGTGAGGCTTAGTTTTTTTTTTTAATACAAAACTAAGTCTGTGAGTAGATATTTTTAGTTGCAACGTTAGTAGAAAGGCTCATTTAGCAGAGACTCAGACCCATACATTCCTGTTTTTCTTAGTTCACCATGTGAACTTGACAAATATAAGTATCTTCCATGCATTCATTTTTTTATTTGACCGTCTACTTTCCAGTGGAGGGCACAGAGATTAATACCATTATATGAAGTCACAGGAGTCAAGCAAATAATCCTGAAGTGCAAGGTGATTTATGCGACTTCTATAACATTGTGTTTTCTACAGATTGTGAGCACCTTATTCGAAGGATGTTGGTCCTAGATCCGTCCAAACGACTAACCATAGCTCAAATCAAGGAGCATAAGTGGATGCTTATAGAAGTTCCTATACAGAGACCTATTCTCTATCCACAAGAACAAGAAAACGAGCCATCTATTGGGGAGTTTAATGAACAGGTCCTGCGATTGATGCACAGTCTCGGAATAGATCAACAGAAAACTGTTGAGGTAAAGTGACGAGAGATTTGACTAAATATATGTTAGGATTCCTCTGCAGTTAGTAACTTGAAATTTCATTCTCACACCTGTCATCCTGGTCTTTTAGCACATCCATCTCTGGCACCTAGGCCTACTGTTCAGTGTTCCCTGACAGTTACATCAGACTCTATTTATATTTGCTTTTATTCAACATCTAAATTCCTTCCTTTGCCTCATCTGCCAAAAAGTTCAAGAGGTTTTATAGAAGATGCAGGAAAATTGAAGATGGAAGCTTAAAAAGAACAAGATAGAAAGTTTATTTCTAGACGAAGCATTAAGTTTCATATCAGCACTATACTAGCTTGTGTAGAACGTAAATATGCAGATATGGAACAAGGCTGAAGGTCACGCAGGAAACAAGGAAAGGCACTGGGTTTAAGAAAGCCAGTGGGATTTAATTGTGAACTAGAGAAACTAAGAAGGCAGAAAAACAGGTTGGGTCCTGATTTGGAAATATTAGGGATAATAGAACTAAAAAGGTCGTGAACCTGGAAAATTCCTCTTGGCTTTTTTTCCTGTCCTCTAGTGGTTAGCATAATATAGGATATACATGTTTTTAATACCTCCACAATAGTGAAAACACAACAACAACAACAAAAAAAAAAAAAAAAACAGTGCTTTTTTTTTTTTTTTTTTTTTTTTTTATTTCTCGGCGGACACAACATCTTTGTTTGTATGTGGTGCTAAGGATCGAACCCGGGCCGCACGCATGCCAGGCGAGCGCGCTACCGCTTGAGCCACATCCCCAGCCCCAAAAACAGTGCTTTTAAGGAAGAAGCGAAACAAGAAAGAATATCAAATGCCCCCATGTTTGCTGTGAAAGACCAAGGATCCAAACTACTGCCTCCTCCCCTGTCATAGCTGTATGTAAAATAAACTGGCTTTCCTGCCTGGTTCATTGTGTACCTAGTGATGTTTTTCTGTACTTATCCATGAAGTAGATCGAGAATGGCAGCTGTGAGCGTGGTTCTGCTGGCCTGTGAGTTTTGCTGAGAATGCTCCACATTCATTTATGGGTACTCTGCCCAGCACCCATGCAGGCTGTCAGGTACAATTAGAAGCCAGAGGAGCAGTTGCTTCTCTGTTGCACTAGCATCCTGGGAAAACTGGCAGGCTAAAGATGTGAAAATTTGGGAAGCAACTTTATTTTCAAGGCTTCAAAAGGGTGGGACTGCAAAAACAAGAGGAAAAAATTACCTAAGAACGGAGACACAGTGTCTCTCCATCTAGTATCCAGATGTGATTCTCCAGCCCAAAATAATCACCAGAAAGTTCCCAAAGGCTTTAATCATTCACTTCATGGTTTTCAGTGATTTGGACTTGGATTGAAGCAGTGCAATTAGAGCTTCTGGGCTCAGGGTGCTAACTGCCCTTCTACCGTAGTTACAGCTATGAGATGGAACCGTGTGACAGCAGTGAGAATGCCTACATAAAACAGTGATGGCATTTTCTCTTAGTGCAGAAAAATAAATAGATCTTGATAATGTAAAAGGTCCAGTCAAGTAATTTTAAAGCATCAACCTTTATTTAACTAATACTAAAGACTTGAAATTGTCTGCCTTCGGGTCTAGATTTCATTCTGAGGCATACTTTGTTATTTTACTTTTAAGAACACCCACTTTTGCTTTAGAAAGGTACAGATCATTGGATTGGTTTTTATGGTACTCTACTTTCAACCAACAGTTGTTTTCTCTTTCAGTCTTTGCAGAACAAGAGCTATAACCACTTTGCTGCCATTTATTTCTTGTTGGTGGAGCGCCTGAAATCACATAGAAGCAGTTTTCCTGTGGAGCAGAGACTAGATGGCCGACAGCGTCGGCCTAGCACCATTGCTGAACAAACAGTTGCCAAGGTAACACCCCATTAGCCAATAGTCTTATCTGTGCATGTGCCTATTCGCATGTTTGACACATTTTTTATCTTGTAGTACAAAGGTTAGGATTTCATCTTCTACACTCTGTTTTTCTAGAAAGTTTCTCCCTCAATCATTCACTGAATTCTCAAATGTTTTGGCGCACCTTTCTGTTTGTAAGGATTAACTTTATTTCAAACAGTTTTTTTCATAAAGAGATGTTTTGTGTTTTAATCCCTTGCTTCTGTTGAGAATTAGTGTAACTAACCTATACATTCAGTTTCATGTACACATTTTTATTGTGGATTTACCATGTGTAGACCTCTATTCTTAGGTACTCTAGGAGTTAGGATGTGTAGAGTACACTCCTTGCCCTCAGAGTCATTACACTGTGGAAGCAAAATAAGAATAGACTACAAATAATCATAATTCAAAGAAGGGAAAGATTAGTGCTGTTAAAGAACTGAGGACAAGGATGAGAGAGTCACATCTGAATGAGAACGAAATCATGAGAGAGGTGGCAGTTAGGACAGATCTTCACAGATGTGTGGAACAGTGGCAGGGAGAGGCAGTACTTGAAGGCATTTTAGGTAGACAGAAACAGCGGAAGATGAGCAGAAGTATTTATGTTGGCAATTGTAGGACTTGTTCTAATAAATACACTTGAAGTCTAAGGAAATACGGAGTTGGAGTGATAAGTTGAAGCCACATTGTAAAGAGGTCCACATGCCATGGTAAAGCGTTTACTTTACAATTCAGGAAGAAGTAAGGCACTATGAAAGTAGTTAAGCGGAAGAGTGGTAGAATATCGTATTATTTACAATCATTAATCTGAGAGCATTGGGAATGATGGGCAGGACAGAGAAGAGAAGAAATTTGGAGAGATCGATTAGGAGATTATTATAGTATTTGAGATAAGAAATACTGAAGATCTAAATTAATGTGGCACTGGTAGAAACAGATGGAAGAGGCAAGTAAAAGAACCTCAGAGATATATCTTGTATAAACCTAGCGATGGTTTGGAGAAGTAGCTCTTATGGTGGTTAAAATTTCTAAAGTCTTTCTGTGCCTCAGTTTCCTGTGTGTAAATAGATAAGATTATAAGAATGTTGTGCCAGTAAAATTAGTTAATATTTTTGGAATACATACAACAGTGTCTATTACATAGTAAGTGAGTGCTATGTAAGTATTTGTATATAAGTAAATGTTGGGGGATTAGAGGACAAAAGTGAGTTAGGGATAATTCTGTCTTGAGCTAGGCCTGAGAGAACAGTGGTGGCATTAACTTAGTTGCCAAGAGGGGATGTGGACATAGATCCCAGGAGAGATGCTGGAGTAGAGAGGTCTGGGGAATCATCTGTATAGAGGTTGAGGAGAAGAGTGGCTTGTTCCAGTGCTCTATTAGGATTTTTGTCCTCTTCTATGAGTGACTCTATTCAAAGTGAAATTAAGAGTAGAATTTTCATATTGAATTTCTTTGGCAGGTTTACAAAATTTGCAAGATTATAAGAAATTCTGGCATTTTTTTATAGTATGTACAAAGAAAAAAACCAAGGAAATTAAAAATCTTGATTTTCATAGGCAAATTGTATTTTTGTTTATATGCTTTATATAGAAAATGTGAGTACCAAAACAAATGTAAGTTAAATAATGTTATCAATGTTATTCTAGATATTTGAGTTAGACTTTCTCACATGTAGAAACCTTCAAAGTTTAATTAGGTATTGCTTACAAGACAGAGGGGAAATGAGAGTTCATGAGCTGGGATGGTGTCCCTTCCTTCTTGCAAGTGCAGCCAGGCAAAAGGACAGGAGGCAGAGACTCCCAGTGCAGTAGCAGGCTTTCCTTGCCAAGTGTCTTTTTTTTTTTATTGGTTGTTCAAAACATTACAAAGCTCTTGACATATCATATTTCATACATTAGAATCAAATTGGTTATGAACTCCCAATTTTACCCCAAATACAGATTGCAGAATCACATCGGTCACACATCCACATTTTTACATAATGCCATATTAGTAACTGTTGTATTCTGCTACCTTTCCTATCCTCTACTATCCCCCCCTCCCCTCCCCTCCCATCTTCTCTCTCTACCCCATCTACTGTAATTCATTTCTCTCCTTGTTTATTTTCCCATTCCCCTCACAACCTCTTATATGTAATTTTGTATAACAATGAGGGTCTCCCTCCATTACCATGCAATTTCCCTTTTCTCTCCCTTTCCCTCCCACCGCCAAGTATCTTTATTCTTAAACATGCAAGTGAGTGAGTGGTAAAGGGTTACATAAACAACTGCTCCTGAGCATGTGCATATGTTATTTGATATCTTTTCCTATCTAGAGTTTAAGCAAATTCCCCTGGATATCTCAAATTTTATTTAATTTGGCTTGGAGTTGAGATGTATAAGATGGCTTCTTATGTCTGCTAACTTTGTTTCCTTACCAAGCCTCCCATGAGTTCTTGCACTTTGTGCATTGACCCATGTCATCATAGAAACCTACTTACTGTAATTTAAAATACATGCAATCCAAATGGAAATCTTCAGTGTTCATCTACAAACTTGTCTTAAAGGCTGCTGGATGCTAATCAGGAGGCAGCGCTGCTGAGGAAAACACTTCCTTCCCTCGGAGGGGCACGTTCTACTTTTTAGTACAGAGCTTACTAAAAAATAGATTTCTCTGGTTTTATGGATACTAAATATGCTCAAAATTTCAGTAGAGCCTTCTTGTTTTAATTCCTTTATGTTCTAATTTTTTTTTTAAAGAGCCCCTCCTGTCTGGCATTTTGTTATGGCAGCCTGGGCACACTAATACTATGCTGTGTTCTACAGTGGGCAACTCCTAATCCGTAATTCAATAGCTGAGATGCCCATTGCATTCGTGTTTGCTTACAATTGATACAAACCATGGAGTGGCAAAATTGTTAAAAACCAGTGGTCAGAGTTCATAAGATAAAAAAAGCAAGACATTTTTCTCAGTAGTTATCCAAAGTAAGTCAAATGCAACATTTCCAGCATATTGTACAGCAAATAAAAAGTACTTTAAATCTATCTAAGAAGAAATCTCACTGTATTCTAAATAATAATAATAACAGGTACTTTATCACTAAACTATAAACTCCTTAAAGTCAGGCACAGTTTTTTAGGTACCTCTAAGGCCACAGATTGCTATATTGATAATAGCAATAAGAAATCAAGGAAACAGCTGGCATGGTGGTGCACGCTTGTAATCTTAACAACTTGGGAGGCTGAGATAGGAGGATCACAAGTTCAGATCCAGCCTCAGCAACTTAGCAAGGCCCTGAGCAACTTAGCAAGACCCTGTCTCAAAATCTTAAAAAAGGGAGGGGGTGCTAGGGATGTGGCTCAGTGGTTAAGTCCCTCTGGGTTCAGTCCCCAGTACCAAAGAAAATAAATTGAGGAAACAACATTATCCTATACAAAGACCACATGAACTGTAAAATCCTGCAGAATTTTAGTTCCATGCAGAAGGTCTGCATGATTTTGAGGTGACTTTGCATAAGAATTTCTGAGTTCCTCTATTCTTAAATATAGAATGGAAATGGCAATACCTACTTAATAAGATTGCTACTGAGTAAAAATTAGTTAACCTGAACCAGCAGTTGAGTTCAGCAAATAGAGCACTTATCTGTCAGGCACTGTCCTCACCACTGTGGGCATTGTATTAATTCGCTCGGGCTACCATAACAAAATGCCAGACTGAAGGGTTCAAACAGAAAAGTCATTTCCTCACAGTTCCTGAAGCCATCAGCATCTGGTGCAGGCTAACTCCCGTGAGTAGATGGCTGCCTTCTTACTCTTTTTTTTCATGTGCCTCTCCATCTGTCAATTGAGGAGAGAGAGTTCTGGTGGTCTCTTCCTTTTATAAGAACACCAGACCTCTTGGATCAAGATCTCATGTTTATGACTTAATCTAACTTTAACTTACCTCCTTAAAAGCCTTATCTCCAAATTAGTTCTTATAAGAGGAAGAGACAACCAGAACTCTCTCTTGCTAAGTTGCTGAGTCTGGCCTTGAACTTTCAGTCCTCTTGCCTCATCCTCTCAAGTCAATGGAATTATAGGCATGCACCACCATGCCCTGCAGAACCCAGGGTTTTGTACATGCTAGGCAAGCACGCTACCACTAGCCACACCCCAGCCCAGACAGACTACCTTAGACCCCTTAGCAATTGCAAGACTTCTAAAAAGCAGATGTATGATACCTACTATCCTATTTCCTGGGAAGTAAGTATCACAACAAAATGTTATTCCTCCATCCTTTCCAAGTTCATGGGTCCATTATAGTCCAGGTTAGGTGCAAAAGTTTTCAAGGAAAATGTACAATCCTTGGTCTAGCACAGCAGCCCTGCCATTTAAGGAATTGTAGCTGATGAAAGTCAGGACTGAGAAGGAGCAGCACATTATAGTTTTTGTGTGGCCATCTCATTTCCATTGTAGTGTCCCAGGTAATAGTTTCCCTACTTTCATATAAAAGGAACAGAATAATACATTTGGGAAATAGAAATCAAAATTCAGTTCTATCCTTTGATTGAAAATACAACAATGAGGGTTGGAAGACTGTAACAAATTAGAAAGTTTAAATTTCACATTGTGACATTGACTAGAGAAATTAAATGACTAATACTTGAAAAGAAAAAAAAGTTGTTTAACATCAAATGTGGCACAGGTGTAAGCCTGAAGAATGATGCAAAAGAAAAGAAATTTCTTTATCATACTCAGAATGGTATGCAGTAATCTTTTTCCTGTTCTTACCATTCATATAATTCTGAGACTTTGCTGTTGTTCTTCTATTCTTCTTTTTAAATATTTTTTAGTTGTTGGTAGACCTTTATTTTATTTATTTATATGTGGTGCTGAGAATCGAACCCAGCGCCTCACAAATGCCAGGCAAGTGCTCTACCACTAAGCCACCGGCCCAGCCCTGTTCCTCTATTCTTTATCTCATGTGGTATATCTGGAGACAGCAATATTTGGATCTGCCATATATAAAATATATCCTATGTATATTCAAAATATGTTGAAATATAAAGTATGGTAGTAACATATACTCCCATTCTTGAACAGCTGTCAAACTGAAAATTCTAACTGGGAACCATTAAATAGAATCTGAGAACAAAACTACATTCATCTTACAGTGTAAATCCTATATTTTTGTGATGATTTTAGGACTTTAAAAAAGGAAAAGAGCGGGGCTGGGAATGTGGCTCAAATGGTAATGTGCTTGCCTGGCATGCGCGCGGCGCTGGGTTCAATCCTTAGCACCACATACAAATAAAGATGTTGTGTCCGCCGAAAACTAAAAATACTTAAAAAAAAATTCTCTCTCTCTCTCTCTCTCTCTCTCCCCCCCCCCCTTTAAAAAAAAAGAAGAAAAAGAAGAGGAATTAACCTTACTGAATTAGGACTTTATATGTTACCTTTTAGAATCCTAACTTCACTATGAAATAGGATTTATGCCCTTTTTTACAGGTGAAGAAAATAAGATTCAAAGAAATTAGGTAACCTGATTAAGTTCACACAATGAGCCAATGATGGAGCCAAGAATCAAGCCCACTTCCTGAGAGAGAACTAGAACCTAATACCATTTTGTGCCTTTTGTTTATTTGAATCTAAAACTCACCATCCTATATCCCTTGACGTGACTATAGCAAGAAGAATATAGGCCAGTCCTCTGCCTGTCATAGTCTGGCGTGATGACTGTTCCCTCAGATGTTTTGCAGTCTCTTATGTTCAAAACATATCTAATAAATTATTCTGCTAGTTTTGAAGGGATCAGGATAAAAGGATCATCCAGCAGCTTCATCTTTAAAATCAACCCTTGCCAGTTGTCTTAGGAAGATTCTCTTTTAAGAATTGTTTGTGATACTTCTTAAAGTAGTTCACAAAGGAGACAGAAGAATGGACTTAAAGTCATCCAGAGTTCCCTATAGTAGGTTGACTTCAAGGTCATAACTTGCACTGCAATGAGCATATCTCCTTCTACTGGGCCAGCAGGCTATGTGCGTCCTTGAAGGAAGGACGACAGTCCTGTCATATCCAAGGAACTGCTGCTTTTCTTTTCTTGCTTGTCCCACACACCCGCATGAAGAAATAAGTATCATCCCACCCCACCAAGAGACAGAGACAGAACTCACTTCAGTGCCCCTTGCATTATAGTTGGTTGTAGGGTGTATGTATCTATCCCTGGTTCAGAGTACAGAATCCTACCAACAGGGACTTTCCTATTCCCCCTTATACTTCTCCAGGTAATATATTTAAGGAAGAAGGCAATATATGTTTTCTGAGTTGAAACAGAGGACATTCTTTTGGGGGGGGAGGGGATGGTACTGGGGATTGAACTTAGGGGCACTGGACCACTGAGCCACATCCCCACTCCCTAGCACTATTTTGCATTTTATTTAGAGACAGGGTCTCTCTGAGTTGCTTAGTGCCTTACCGTTGCTGAGGCTGGCTTTGAACTCGTGATCCCAAGGATATTCTTTGACTCCTCAGAGACAAGCTTTCTTGTCATCTGTGTGAAACTTAGGCTTCTCAATATGGAACAGAAATAAAATTCTATACAAACCTTTTCAGAATATCTGATTGATTCAAGTTAATACCCTATATATGAATGTATATTTTCTATACATATTTCATCAGATCTTTTCCAGAGGAGGGGAGTTCTAATAAATAACTTGTTTATACTTTAATTGTCCCAGGAATAATTATTTTATTCTAAGAACTCGAGTATGTAAAACTCGAGTATGTAAATCGATGTATTTACAGAGAAAGTATTAATGTTCCTCTGCTTTCTGTTCTTGCTATATTTGCAGGCACAAACTGTGGGACTCCCAGTGACCATGCATTCCCCAAACGTGAGGCTGATGCGATCTGCCCTCCTCCCACAGACATCCAACGTGGAGGCCTTTTCATTTCCAGCTTCTGGCTGTCAGGCGGAAGCTGCATTTATGGAAGAAGAGTGTGTCGACACTCCAAAGGTACAGATGGATGTGTTTGAGAGACTCAGAGCTTGCCATATGGCTGTAGACTTGTTTGATCCTGCGGTGCTGTGCTGTGGCTTAGCTGAACTCTCATTTTGTCAAGTCAGTCAGGAATGTTGTTTTTGTGGAGAAAACCTAAGAAATGTCCAAAGCTAAATTCTCATCAGTGTTTTATCATTACAGCTGTTTTGTAACATAACTCATCAGATCTCTCCTCCCCCAGAAGCCCCTTTTTTTCCTCCTTCTTTCTTCAAGTTTCTAAATTCCTCACAAGTGTTTAGCTTTATTTGTTTTTTAACAAATTGTAATTCTGAAAACAAAAAGTTAACTTGCTATGCTGAATTGGGCTTTGTTTTTGTCAGTATTGCTTCTCTTCTGCTGAGAATACTATAGATACAAAATGATGGGCTTTCTGGTCAGCTAAACCTCTGTTTTTGGTCTAGTTTGGACATGCTTGAAGGAGTCAAGTTTACATTTGGCAAACTATAAAATTGGCTTTTAGGATATGGAAGATGACAGCTTCTCTCAAGCAACGGACATTTATTTAACTTCTAATATGAGTTGTATATACTTAGCATCAAGAGATATACAAAGGATCATATTAATGAGTAGCAGAGTGTCACAAAAGAATGTAGACCTTAGAGTATATTCAGACTGTGTTCTTTACCAGGTTGTGTGAACTCTTTGAACCTCAGTTTTCTCTTGTGTAAAATGAGAATACCGAATTTATGAGACTATTATGAGGATTGAGATAGTGTTTGTAAGAAGTGGGGAAGATTTTACATACTCGGTAAATATTGGTTTTCTGTCTTTTTGGCCTCTTCAGGTAATTAAAAAAAAAATGAGTCAGACATGAACTCTGCCTCATGTTGCTAGACTATGGTCTAACAGAAGAAACCTTATACACAACAAAAGACAATATGCCAGCCAGGCATTGTGGCACACGCATGTAATCCCAGCAACTTGGGAGACTGAGAGGAGCATCGCAAGTTCAAGGCCAGATTCCACAATTTAACAAGACCCTGTCTCAAAAATAAAAAGCAAAAATAAGGATGGGGATGTAGCTCAATGGTAGATGACCCTGAGTTCAATCTCTGATACCAAAAAAAAAAAAAAAGCAATGTGCCGAGTGTTGAATAAATTGATAAAAGAGAATATAATTGGCCCTATAAGGAGATATAAATCAAAGTGAAACTAGAAGGTGGCAAGGAGAGTTGCTTTTAGTGTTTGATCAGGAGAGTCTTTGGGTTAAGTGTCAAAGCAGGTAATTGAGAAGTGGATAGAATCAAAGTGGGTGGAAAATAGGGTGGGATGTCTTCAATGGAGACAAAAGCCTGAACAAAAACAAACAAACTTAAGGAATTTCAAGGCTCATCTAAATCAGAGCATTGTTCATTTTATCTGAGGGAAAAAGTATATGGAGAGAAGTTGTGTGAAATAAAAATGGATAGGTTAGCTTTGAATGGCAAGCCAGGCAATTAATACTTGCTCTGTTGGTGGGTGCTTTCAACATGGGTGTGGGGTTCAGTATCAAATGAAACAACTGAAGAGTTAAGGTAACAAGAGACAATTGAAGATTTTGAGCAAGGAAGCACTATATGTATTCTGCGCTTCAGAAAATTAGGCTGGCTGGCTCCCTAGCATGCAGAAGACAGGGGAGACTGGTGACGGAGAATGGGAAGTTAGAGCACATGTCTCTAAAGGAGATGATGTGGGTCTGAACTGGGAGAGGGGTTATGGGACAGAAGAGGAGGGATGGTTGCATTGAGACTGAAGATAAAATTGATAGGATGTCAGGGTTAAGAGAAAAGCCTTAACAAGGTTTTGATTATTGGGAGTATAAGTGCCTTCTCAGAAATCAGGAACTCTGAAGATCCAGTTGGTTGGTTCAGAAGTTAAATAATCAGTTTAGCTAGAGCACAGCCGAGAAGACAGCTCAAGCCCAGGCTTCCCCAGCAGGTGTTAAGTCCAGTTGATGAACAGGACCTGTTGGTGTCACAGCCCCTTAGGATTCCACTTCCTTTGAACAGTCTGTTTTCTCTGCCTGCATTTGTATGTTAAATAACCTTATAAATTACTGGTACATTCTTGCTCAGAAATTCAGACATAAATTAGAGTAATGTAATTCATTTACTTTAAAGATATAATTCTCTCAAAAAAATTAAAATGCAGTCTGCTAAAGTCTTGTCTGTGAGGGCACCAGGCCCAAAACACAGATTGGGCACTGTCTGCTATATTATATAGGGCAAGCTATTTTTAAAGCTTGTGATTGTTACCGTAACTAGGAAACAGACAGGAAATGAATGATTTTGTGAAAGATATAGACAGTAGCTAGATGGTGTATTTGCATTTGCAGGAAGAGCAGTGCCACGCTGGAACTGGCCACCCACACTGGCATTGCCACTGTGACACTCAGCCAGGCCATAAACATCCGCTGGTCTTACTGCAGATTGTTCCTTCTCCTGGTTTGCAGTAAAATGTTTGTTCTTCCCTCCCTACTGCCTTTTTCTTTAGGGCCCATAAATAAATGCACATACACAAAACTCCCAGATAGAAATACAATTCCTTTTATTCATTTTCCTTCATTTATACTTACTGTAATGCCCATTTTGTTTTCTGAAAGATGCTTCACAGCTACACATATTGCTCATTTCATTTCTGCTGTCAATCAGGGATAAGTGTTGTGCTTTTCCAAGAGAGCACACCTCTCCTTCCCTCCTGGATATCTTCAGTGCTTAAAACTGTCAGTGAAATCCCTTAAGGAGTCTGAATGGACACTTTGGTTTGGGGTTCCTGCAAAAACCAGCACCTTTCTGAGTTATCCATTCTGGGTAAAAAAAAAAAAAAAAAAAAACAGTAACTGAGACCCACAGGTGACACAGGGACCATGTGGAATGGCAGGTGCATAAACCCTACAGAGCACATATATCCTCACTTGAGTGTTTCTTTGTAAATAATGGATATTTTTTCTACACATTCACAAATAGGCCAGTCATTTTTAGCTTTTTATTAGACTATAGTAAAAGGAATTTCTTAGTTAGCATCTTTGTAGCTGGATGACAGAAGAATTATAAGAGTAAACCATGAAAATGCAACTATGATAGAGGTATTTCATGTCCGTTTACATTTGATAATTTTTTGAAGCTGAGCATCAAGGCACATGCCTGTATTCCCATTGACTTGGGGAGGCTGAGGCAGGAAGATCACAAGTTTAAGGCCAACCTTAGCAGCTTAGACCTTGCCTCAAAATTTAAAAAAAAGGATTGGAGACATAGCTCTGTGGTAAACACCCTGCCCCAGTACCAAAAAAAAAAAAAAAGTAATAATTATGATTTTTTATTATATAAGTAGTATACATAAGAGAAGCTCTGAGGGACTGGGGTTGTGGCTCAAGTGGTAAAGTACTCACCCAGCACGTGTGAGGCACTGGGTTCGATCCTCAGCACCACATAAAAATAAAGATTTGTATCCACTTAAAACTAAAAAATAAATATATAAAAAAAAGAGAAGCTCTAAAAAGGAAATATTTATCAAACTCTCAGTAGATGCTAACTCTAAGGCTTTGGAGAAGAAATTCCAATTTTACTTCTGAAATTAAATTTTAATAACAAGTATTAATTTAAAATCAAAAATAAAACCAGTCAGAATAATGCCTAAAATTCAGAAGGGGATAAAGGAAAAATCAATTTATCCATAATATCACCATCCAAAAATAAGCATATTGCCAGATGTGGTGGCTCACACCAGTAATTCCAGCAACCCAGGAGGCTGAGGCAGAAGGATCACAACTTCAAGGCCAGCCTCAGCAATTTGGCAAGACCCTGGGCAACTTAGTGAGACTGTATCTCAAAACAAAAAAAATAAAAGGATTGGGGATGTGGCTCAATGGTAAAGCATCCTGGGTTCAATCCCCAGTACCTAACTAAATAAATAAATTAATTGGAAAAAATAAGCATATTTTGATGTGCTTTCTGTAGGTGGGTAGGGGTAGTATGGGTCAGTAGGTAGAAGGACTTTTAAAACAAAGTTATATTCTATTATATATAATTTTGTATCTTTCTTTACATTACAGTATAGCATGAACATTTATCCCACATCATGAAATGTTCTTTTAAAGCATGAGTTTTAACAACTGCCTAATACATTGTATTAGGCATCACTTTATTTAATGGCTCTCCTTTGCTTTTTTTCATCCTTATTTATGCTTAAGGTAAATGTTCATATCTAATTCCAATGGTTATTCCTTTAGGATAGATTTTTAGAAATGATGTTACTCAGTTTTTTGTTTTTGTTTTTGTTTTGTTTTGTTTTTTTGCTTTTTCACCTTGTTAGTTAATTTGCCTCAAAATAGCAAAAACACTTGTTTTAAAAGTGTTAAATAAGTGCAAAAATTGAGTTAGAAGTTAAGCAATTCTAACCATTGAGTGGTGGAGCTGAGATTTGAGCCTATAGCACTTCCTCAATAAGTAGCAGACTTACCAGGCACTTAGGATAAAATTATTTAAGACACATTCCCAGCCTCCAAACTCACCAAACTGCTTTGGTGTACTAAATCAGTCTGCTCACCTGCCATAATGAAATACCACAGTGGCTTAAACAACAGGAGTTTCCTCACAGTTCTGGAGCCTGAGAAGTCTAAGATCTAAGTTCCAGCTAATTCAGTCTCTTATAAGCTTCCTTCTCCTAGTTTGCAGATGGTCACCTCATTGTCTTAAGACCTCTCATGTGCCCCAGGGGGAGTTAGGAGTAAGCCTGCCAGCTGTCCCTTCTTATAAAGACACTAATCCTTTGGGGGTCAGGGCCCTACTCCCTTAGAAACACTGTCTCCAAATACAGCCACGTTGGGGTTAGGGTCAACATAGGAATTTTGGAAGGATAGAACATTCAGTCCATAGCAATCTTCCAGTCTCTTATGCTAGAATCTTGTACTTGATGTAGACTCTTGGGCTTTCTCAATTAGTTTTGGGGTCTCTGAGGACTTGATCCCCACATGTTTATCACCTATTACATAAAAGGTCTCTTGGAAGTGAAGTGACTTAAGCTTAAAGGAAAAACAAAATATATTAGAAAACTACATTTCACCCACATTGTATTTTAAGTTTCTCTAATTCACAACAGCCTAGATTGTTTCCTGTTCCTAAAGCAAAAGGTCTTATTTCCAGCAGCTTAGGTCACCTAGGCAGATCAACCCAGTAATTCAGTCATAAAACCCTGGAACTGGAAGTACTCACACCTGTTAACTGAACTGAGCCACCCCACAGGACATCAGTATATTGCCAGGTATGGTGGTGTACACCTGTAATCCCAGCAGCTCAGGAGACTGAGGCAAGGAAGATCACAAGTTTGAGGCCATCCTCAACAACTTAGCAAGTCCCTAAGCAACTGAGACCCTGCCTCAAAATAAAAAATAAAAGGACCGGGGGTGTAGCTTGGTGATAAAATACTTCTGGGTTCAATCCCTTAAAAAAAAAAAAGTTAGTTTATTATTTTCCAGCTGCCCCAGGATGAAAAGTCAGGTCTGTGAAAAAAATCAGATCCTTGTTTTCTAGTGGTATGAGGATGAAATTTGTTTCAGTAAACATTTCTTAATCAAAAACATAATTCATCTAGTTTGGATGGGATAAATTTATAGGGTAACAATTTAAGTAAAATTGTAAATTCAGGGAGACTGCAGGGTTTTTTGAGTGATTCAAGAAAAGGTGACTTTCTTCCATTACGGAAAAATAAAGAATATAGATGACTTATCCTGCAGGAGCCACCTGACAGAGGCTGTATGAAGACGCTCAGTATATAATTACTTAATAACATCCTTTTCTCCATTGCTTTATTCATTTCTAAATCATCCTCGATTAGTCTTAGAAAATTGTATTAGTAGATAGTTAAGGAGCCTGGAAGTGTGAATGTAAGTTCTCAACCATTCTTTCCTGCAAGAAAACTGTTAAATGTCATCGAAAAGGAAAACAAACCTGAGGAAGGTCCAAGGAAAGAATGAGAGTTGCTAGCCAGATTGCAGATTTTTTTTTCCTGGTGCCATGGGGAAGTGACCACTTATCACTTTACAACACTGTAATGCCTTAGTCACCTTACCCAGGCAATGGCTCTAGCCCCAGAACAATTTTTATGGAATAAGCATCACCTCCCCCAAGCAAACAAAGATCTGAGTCACCTAACTCCCCCTCTCCAAATAGAAGGCCATGAAATATCTTCACACAGTTGCCATGAGAGGGAATTTCCTGTGTCTGGCACAGGGATGTCCACATCACCTCTCACATACATGAGCTGCTCCTGCTTCCAAAGGAAACAACATTCCAAAGGATGTTCCAGGTGAAAGTCGTACTTAGAACTGAGCATCTGTGCTGGCTGTTCCTGAACAGCTATTCATAGGAGAAAATGGATTGATTTCCACAGGGGAATAGTTAAGGTAATGAGGTAAATAATTGCCTCCTCTTTGGGGCTTTTACCAGCCAGAAGAGCTCAAAACCACAACTCCCCTTTGTGTGCCTTTCTGCCTGCCTAATGGTGGTTTGCTTGGCAACTGCCAGGAAGGCAATGTGCTCACTCAGGAGCTGTGTTGAGCCCATCCCTGTGGGTAGGAGCCATAGATAGTGTGTCACTGCCATAGAAGAGAGAATTTCGTGCACTGGGGCTTATTAACCTCTGCAGGAATTTTGGGCCGGTGAGTCATTTGTTATTCTATAATGGAAGGCTTTGGCTGTTTGCCATTTAATTTTTTTTTTTCAATCCTTTTTGTGGTATCACTCTGTCTTTAACAAAGAATTCTTACTTTCCATTCTTGAGGCACATAGAACCAACTACAAACTGAATCAAATGGGCAGGTACTTAAATTATGAACATAGAAGTATATCTAGAGCCTTCCAGTATGTCTCGTGGTTGAAAATTAGAAGAATATTGATACTGCACTTCAGTTTATAAGCCATGTACTTAAAAAACAAAATCTCATCTTCCCCCTCTTCATTTCTCTTATTAAAAAAAAATAAATAACTGGTAGGCCTCAAGCTAATATACCCCCTGTTCATCTGGAAACCACTAACAATATTGTTTATTGTAATAATGATGACTCAGAGGAACCTGGGTGGCAGTGCCACTTTGGGTCATAAGGGTCTCTTGTCTCCAAGCACTGCAGTTGACTTGCCTTAACTTCTGTATGTTGTCATTAGAAAAAAAAATGTGAATACTTTTAATATTTTACTTAATTTCTAGTTTGCCATAAGTCGTGGCATTTTTTTGCTTTGTGGATTTTTCTGATGTCTCGGCAGAGCAGCAGCTGACAGTTTCCTGTCACACCTTTGACATTTAGGTAAATGGCTGTCTGCTTGACCCTGTGCCTCCTATCCTGATGAGGAAAGGATGCCAGTCACTGCCCAGCAACATGATGGAGACCTCCATTGACGAAGGGTTGGAGACAGAAGGAGAGACTGAGGAGGACCCCAGTCATGCCTTTGAAGCTTTTCAGTCCACGCGCAGTGGGCAGAGACGGCACACTCTGTCAGAAGTGACCAACCAACTGGTCGTGATGCCTGGGGCAGGTATGTTATCAGAGAAGCATCAGGTCAAGTCTTCATGGCACCAGCTCATACTCAAGTCACCACAAAGTAATGAAACCAACCAGTCCCTGGAATATAATCTGTGCTTACTCCTTTGTGGAGCAGTTGCAGCAGGTTGTAGGATTAGGCCTGCTCGGCAGCTGACAAAGATTAAAATGGAATGTTTGTGAGTTGATTCCCCTTACTCGTAGGGGTGCTTCATCAGAGACAGGCTCTTTGGGAGCAACCACTCTTTGGAAGTGACAACCCCTCCCTTGACAGTGTAGATTCTGAGTATGATACGGGATCTGCTCAGAGAGACCTAAACTTTCTTAGGACAACCCTTCCCTTAAGGACATCATGTTAGCCAATCAACCCTCACCCTGCATGACATCTCCTTTCATAAGGTGCAGCTTCTGGAGTGTTTTCCCCCACTAAATTTGAAGATGGTTAAATTGACCTATGAAAGGGTTCTGAAAATATGGGGTTTTCTTGTTTTGTTTTGTTTTTCTTGTTTTGTTTTGGGGAGGTGTTGGGTTGGTTGGTTGGTTTTTTTGTTTGTTTGTTTTTTGCAGTGCTAGAGATTGAACCCCAGAGCCTTACACATGCTAAACAATCACTCTACTACCAAGCTGTATCTCCCCACCCCTGAAAAGGTGTTGCTTGTTTTGGGTTTTCATTTTTTCGTTTGAGACAGGGTCTCACTGTGTTGATCAGGCTGTTCTGAAATTCCTGGGCTCAAGCAATCCTTCTGCCTCAGTCTCCCAAGAAACTGGGACTGCAGGCTTCTGCCACTTGAAAAGATGTTTTGATTGGATAGTGAGAACATTGCTGATGTCAGGACTAAAGCTTATGGCCATGTTGTCTCAGGACAGCAATGATGACACTGAAGATGTTTCATTGTTTGATGCAGAAGAAGAGACAACTAATAGACCAAGAAAATCCAAAATGCGACATCCAGTGGCATCATTTTTCCATTTGTTCTTCCGAGTCGGTGCCATTATAGTCTATCTTCTCTGTGAATTGCTCAGCAGCAGCTTTATTGCCTGTATGGTGATAATTATCTTGTTGTTGTCATGTGACTTTTGGGCAGTGAAGAATGTCACAGGTAGACTGATGGTAGGCCTTCGGTGCTAGAATCATATTGATGAGGATGGAAAGAGTCATTGGGTGTTTGAGTCCAGGAAGGCATCTCCTCAGAAGAATAAAACTGTTTCAGAAGCTGAATCAAGAATCTTTTGGTTAGGACTAATTGCCTGTCCAATACTGTGGGTGATATGTGCCTTTAGTGCTCTCTTCTCCTTCAGAGTAAAATGGTTGGCTGTGGTTATCATGGGTGTGGTACTACAGGGTGCCAACCTGTATGGTTACATCAGGTGCAAAGTGGGCAGCCAGAAGAATTTAACCAGCATGGCTACCTCGTATCTCGGAAAGCAGTTTTTAAAACAAAACACCGGAAATGAACAGACTTCTTGAATAGAGAGAAAATTATGTTTTCTGTGATATTGAGGAATGGCTGAAGAGATTCTTGATTATAAACTGTTTAGAGCTCAGTCCAGTTGCAAAGAGGAGCATTGTTTTTTTGTTTTGTTTTGTTTTGTTTTGTTTTCACTTACAAAGTTACTATGAAAACTGTTTTCTTTTTTTAAACAAAGTTTTTATTTTTATTTTTTCTAGTAGTTGAGGCTGGGAAGTATGATATCATTAAGAACATTGTCAGAATTTATTTTATGGTGTACATATGTATGCATATAGTAAAGTATCCATATATCCCAAATTAATGTGTTAGTTTACGTATGTTACAGAGATATTTGCATTTTGAGCCATAGAAAATAGACTGTTCTTAGTCAAAGGTATGTGTGTTTACATACTATTTCTGTAGGTTATTTTCAGAAATAAGTTGAGTCCATGATTAAGAGTAAACACTTGGCTTGTGTATGAGTTAAAAATTAGAAAAAATTGTTAATTTTAAATATATACTTCATGTTGAAATTGCTTACCTTAGACATGCACAAGTGAAAACCAAATTCAGGCTGGTATTAACTAGTTTCTAAAATTTATTTTTTTACTTAAGGCCTAAATAATAAAAGGAATCTTTATAGTTTATGTTTAAGGGATACCCAAGGGATTGCTGCTGTTCTATTTATTTCGTGGAAAGGATAGTCAGATTTTATTTTGGAACTTCCTGGAAACTCTTCAGTGGTCTCTGGACTAATAAAATCTTTTACTACTAAATTAATATTGTTCTTATGTCATAGTAAGAATAATAATTTAAATACTTGGCATAATAAATGCCTAAAGACATTATATGAATCTGTTTTTCTTGCTATAATAGGGATATTGTAAACCATACATTTGTATTAATAATATTTCTTAAACAAGGCAATATATTTAACTGTAAACTAAACCAATCTACAAATTATTGTAGGCAGTTGTAAATTTTGTTGTAGGTACTAGAAACTTTGTTGGAGTCTTTTAATCAGCAGATTATGTTGTGAATGTATTTGTACATTGTTAAAATATTTTTAAAGATGTTTTGTTTTAGTTGAATAAATGTGTGTTGGAGTGATAGCTTGGAAGGTGCACAACTTTATATTTGTATAAAACTATTGTTTACAAAGCAAAAAAAAAAAAGACTAAAGCTTATTATGCTTTGTATTCTAAGTTCAAAATGCTATTGCTGTTCTATCTGTTCTGTTTTGTTTTTTCTCTTAAAGGTAAAATTTTCTCCATGAGTGACAACCCCTCCCTTGATAGTGTGGACTCAGAGTATGATATGGGGTCTGCTCAGAGAGACCTGAATTTTCTGGAGGACAACCCTTCCCTTAAGGACATCATGTTAGCCAATCAACCGTCACCCCGCATGACATCTCCTTTCATAAGCCTGAGGCCTACCAACCCAGCCATGCAGGCTCTGAGTTCCCAGAAACGAGAGGCCCACAACAGATCACCAGTGAGCTTCAGAGAGGGCCGCAGGGCATCTGATACCTCCCTCACCCAAGGTGAATGCTTCTTCTAGCTTTTCAAACTCTTACATTGTAGCAGTTGAGGGACATTTGTTGCTGTGTTAGTTGAACCTGTGATCACTGAAAGACCTTGTATTTTACTTAAACTGTTTGGTCTTTGTGCTTTCTTTCAGGAATTGTAGCATTTAGACAACATCTTCAGAATCTGGCTAGAACCAAAGGAATTCTGGAGTTGAACAAAGTGCAGTTGCTTTATGAACAGATGGGACCAGAGGCAGACCCTAATTTGACATCAGCTGCCCCTCAGCTCCAAGACCTCGACAGCAGTTGCCCTCAGGTGGGTAATCTAGGCCCTTCCCACCATGATTCTGAGTGAAGATGCATGGGTTTTAGTTAAAGGACTTCCAGTTCTAGACAAGGACATTCTTTTGGAAAGAGTACAGCCCGAAAGCTTTCCTTGCTGCTGTTGCTGATAGCTTAGACCAAGCCACACCACTGCCAGGTGTCAGCCCCAGGTGGAGGCCTAGACATGCTCTAGCTAGGTTTGGTTCACAGGACAGATTGTATGTGGGTGACTCTTACAGCCCTTGAACTCCCTCACCCCCATGCATACACAAAAATGAAGAGTAATAAACATTACCCAAATATGAAGCTTTTTGCCACTATTTTTGATGTGAAATCACTTTATTAAGGCCAGGCACAGTGGTGCACGCCTGTAATCCCAGCAGCTCAGGAGGCTGAGGCAGGTGGATCGAAAGTTCAAAGTCAGCCTCAGCAACTTAGTGAGGCCCTAAGCAACTCAGAGATTCCCTGTCTTTAAATAAAACACATAAAAGGGCTGATAATGTGGCTCAGTAGTTGAGTGCCCCTGAGTTCAATCCCCAGTACCAAAATTAAAAAAAAAAAAAATCAACAGAAAATCAGTTTATTAAATATAACAAGTGGACCATTCATACTAAAAATACAATAAATACTTTTTTTTATACTGTATGCTTTATTTTGAGCCTCTTTTTAGTACACTAAGAATCTTTGTAGGTGATGATGGCCTCCTGATGACACCAGGAACTTTTGCTGTGATCCTGATTAGGTAGTTGTTGACAACAGTTAATACATGTATGAGTTCTCTGCAAAGTAATTAACTTCAACCTACTAATTAGAGAAAAGATTGGAGTGTTATATCAGAGAGTTGAGATTCCTCTTGGTCATTTGAAAAGGTACTTAAACTAAAAATTAAAACTTTTTCCCACATGGAAAATTGAAAATTGTTTTCACTCCCCTGCTCCTCAGGAGGAAGTTTCCCAGCAGCAGGAAAGTGTCTCCACTCTGCCTACCAGTGTGCATCCTCAACTTTCCCAGCGGCAGAGTCTAGAAACCCAGTACCTACAGCATAGACTCCAGGTGGGATCCTTCTCCTCGTTCACCCAGCTCACTTTGTCCATTCAAAATCTGCCTTTCTGCACAGCCTTATGCTGTGTCAGTAGTAGGAAAGGACTGGTCTTCAGGCCTTTCAAAGGATATGACAAGGAGTGGTAGGAAAGGGAGACCTGACTTCTTCGTTTCTAATTCTATACTTCTATACTGATAAAGAAAATGAAAATCTGGAAGTCTGCAAAATGTTAATATGTCTGTCTGCACTAGGATATGAAGATTCTAAGAAATAATGCATTAAGAATGAAACATTCATTCAGTAAGTGCTGGTCCTTTACTATCAAGATTTATGGCTACTTTTCTCGTTGTTTTGAATCACCATGAACCTCATTATCCTAGAGGACTTTCAGAAGTGGAAAAAAATTAGATCAGAACTGAGTCACCCCAGCCTGCTCACCAGTGCCCTTCCAGGGTCTCAGTGAGCGCATGCCAGTCCCTTCGTCCTGTGTAGAATCTGGAGGTTGCCCTTGGATTCACCCTTGAAACAGAAGCATGGTGAGATGACTGCCTCCTGGGTGACAGCACATGATCATGCTTGTATTGTTTTTGTGCTTCCAGAAGCCTAGCCTTCTGTCAAAGGCGCAGAATACCTGTCAGCTTTATTGTAAAGAACCACCACGGAGCCTTGAGCAGCAGCTGCAAGAACACAGGTAAGATGGGGTATTTGGCCAGTGAAGTCGCTGAGTTTTGTGGAAGCCCTAAGAATGCTGTGTATTTTCCCTTCCCATTCATGTTTGCCTCTGCTAGAAACATAGGTTTTGCTGCATGTCCCATGGCCTTTTCAAGCACGATTGCTAATGAGGCTATTTCAGCATCTGTGAAGTATGGGCCTGTCTGGCAATACCAGCCCCAAAATGTGCTTTGTTTTCCTTTTCTTCTAATACTTCCATTTTGGAATATGAATAACCCTCAGATTTTAGGACCAGTGGCCTGAAGCAGTTTGAGTGAGTTAGACTGCAGGAAAGCCTCCTCTCTTGCCATTGCTCATGCCACCCAGAGGCCTCACTAGTAGAAACAGCTTGACCAAGGCTTACCCTAAACTATAGGCAACCCATAGAGGCCAAGATGTGATCTCTCTTTCATACAATCCAGATGAAAAAGCAGTCTCTCACTTCATAGAGAGAGAAACAGTGTCTTGCAGGATAAGCATTTGTGCTCACTTAACTCCAAGGGGACAGTGAAAATTAGGGGGCAAAAAGTGAAATTAGGTTTTAGAAGCACAACACAGTGGGCTCCTACTTGCAGTTTGTTTTCCTTACATGGGAAAGAAAGAAATGGGGACCTGAAGCTAATTCTTGGTATTGGATTTTCATTAAGATCACCATCACCTGAGAAGATCTAAAAACGCTCTCCTTTGGTATTACCAATTTAGGCTCCAACAGAAGCGACTCTTTCTCCAGAAGCAGTCTCAGCTCCAGGCGTATTTTAATCAGATGCAGATAGCAGAGAGCTCCTACCCTCAGCCAAGTCAGCAGCTGCCCCTTCCCCACCAGGAGACTCCACCGCCAACCCAACAGCCCCCACCCTTCAGCCTGACCCAGCCCCTGAGCCCTGTCCTGGAGCCTTCTTCTGAGCAAATACAATACAGCCCTTTCCTCAGCCAGTACCAGGAGATGCAGCTGCAGCCTCTGCCCTCCACGCCTGGCCCCCGGGCTCCTCCTCCATTGCCCACACAGCTGCAACAGCAGCAGCCACCGCCTCCGCCACCTCCTCCACCACCACAACAGCCTGGAGCTGCTCCAGCCCCCTTGCAGTTCTCCTATCAGACTTGTGAGCTGTCAAGTGCCACTTCCTCTGCGCCAGACTATCCCACTTCCTGTCAGTATCCCGTGGATGGAGACCAGCAGAATGGCCTCACAGGTCCGGACTGTCCCAGGAGCTCAGGACTGCAAGAGGCGCCCTCCAGCTATGACCCGCTAGCCCTCTCTGAGTTACCTGGACTCTTTGATTGTGAAATGCTAGATGCGGTGGATCCACAACACAATGGGTATGTCCTGGTGAATTAATCTCAGCACAGGAAGTGAGGTGGATCTAGTAAAGGCAGACTGTGTATTTTTATTTTTATTCCAGCCTTTTAAATTTAAAGCTTATTTTCTTGTCCTCTTCCTAATGGGGAAAAATCAAGTCGCCCAACTGGAATCAGAGGACTTGGCTGGGATGGATGTGCTTCCTCCTGGCTCTGTCCCACCACAAAGTTTTCTGTGGCAAATGCAGGCTGAAGCTCATGTCCTTAGGTGAAGTGAAGCCAGCACTTGAGGGAGGCACCAACAAATGTTTTTTATAAGACAACAACATTCAGACCTGGGTTTTATGCAAAATTATACCAGTTCATTATTGAGGGAAACCTTGGTGAAAGCAGGAACAATGTGTGCTGTTGCGTAGGAATGCGTGTGCGTGCACGTGTGTATAGGGCAAAACAAAAATACAATATATTTTTCACTGAAGTCAGGCAACAGCATTGCTTCAAGGCAAATCAAGAATACATAATGGAATTTGATGCACAGGAGTAAAGTTGTACTTTGTCATTGAATCCTAACTTCTCAGCTGCTGATGCAGGTTGTTCCCAAGACTTGAAAAGCAGTGGAGCATGAGCTGTTTCAGGGCCCACTAAGTAACAGCTGGTACTGACCCCTGACACCTGCAGTTGTCTCCACCTGGGAGAAGGCGACACACCTCTTCAGAAGGTGCCACTAGGTTACCATGTGTCAGAATATACTCAGGGCTCCAAAGATGTCACCCATAGAACCAACAGGAGACCCACCACAGTGGAGGCTGGGGGCAAGAAACTGGAGAAAGTATCAGGAGCACCAGCCCTGGGCCAGGAGACAGGCTCTTTCTGCACGGTCTCTTGAGGAGACTTCAGGCTGGGGCATTTGGTCTCCAGAGGACCTCTCAGGTCTTCTACAGTGTAGTAACTCCTTTGACTTTACACTCTATGTTGCTAGTAGTTTATTGAGCTTTGTATATTTCGACAGTTTCATATAGGGCTTAGAAATTTTAAGGACACAAAAAAATGAACTTTTATGTCCCATGTGAAGTGGTAGTGCTGTGCCTTTTCCCCACCATGCTTTAATTCTTTCTTTTCTATAGAAATCAAGTTTTCCATTAATGTCAATGCTAAATCCAAAGTCACTTCAGTTTATTTTCCACCATGTGGGAATCTGCATTCTTAATTTCCTTAAAGTTTTGACTTGTAATGCAATGTTCAAAAGTATTACAGCAATACTCAAAACAACACAGATGTGTTAACCATTTAAGCAGATCATCTGCCAAACATGTTATATTACTAGAAAAATTGAACCCTTACAATCATTCATCACAATAAGTGAAAAATAGATGCTACATTAGTTAACTGTATACCTAGAAGTAATGAGTAATCTGTCAATTTAGACAGTGACCTCCAGGTGTTACAAATTCAGTATTATTTACAAAAACCATAATTTCTGTCCTTTAGAGTGGCTTGTCCTATCAGCAGATGAAAGCGTTAAGCACAAAGCGTCTTCCTTAAAGCACAAAGAGAGACGCCACACTGACACTGCATCTAGAAACACCTTTAAGTTGCCTTTCCTCTTTGTAGTAAGTGTCCAGGCAGGGAAAGGAAGCATGCAAGTGGAGGAGATTGTTCTGGACCCAGCCCAGCCCCTGCCAGTGCTGGTGAATTTAGCAGTCCTTGAAAGTGGCCAGGGACTGGTAGGCATAGGGGCTCCCCATTGATGCCAGGCTGCTTCACAAAGGAACTCTGCTTGGATTGGGACTCTGGGTATCAGCAGGAAAGTGGGAGGGGGGAGACTTGTCATTTTTGTGATTTAATAACACAATGAAAATCCAGGAAGAGTGAATTATGCTCCTTTTATGGGTTGTTTATTCCTGCTTGTGCTTAATATGGATTTCTTGAGATAGAAAATATTATTTCTTTTCATCATTTCATGAAGATCTATTTTAAGTCTTTGCAAAATAAGTCAATTACTGGGGCTGGAATAGCTCAGTGGTATAGAGTGTTTACCCAGCATGCACAAGGTCCTGGGTTCAATCCCCAGCACCACAAAAATAAAAAAAAATTAGACAACAATAATTTTTAAAAAGCCAGTTATTAAACAGGGATTGATTTGTTTAGACTGAAGGAGGATGTTTTCCTCAAAATACTACAGAAGTGTTTTGATGTCATCGAAATTAAAATGCCTCCCAGCATCTTAATGAAACTGGGGGCCACTCATTTCAGGACTGCAGGAATGGCACAGTTACAGCTTGGCATAGACTCCTGTCCCCAAACAGGGCTGTGAGCCACTTAGCCCAAGAGACCTAGGAGCTATGTCAGGACAGTTACATGACAACATGAGGGACTGCGCCGGAGAGGCTGTTGGAAGGTTACAGGACCAAAAGATAAGTGGGGAAGCACCAGCAGTGGCCAGGCCTGTTAGGCACTTACAGGGCGATGATATGGACAAGTCACCTGTGAAGAGCACAACCCTCCTGCTGGAACCTCTGTTGTAAGCGTCTGTTTGCCTCTGTCACTGATTCCCAGCAGAAATCAATAAATTCCACAGCCCATGTATTTCCTGAAATGTAGTGGTAAGCAGAGACTGTTTCTGTTGACCTGTTAGGTGTTTGCTATCTGTCGCCTGAATGGCTCTGTTCCTTAACTAGTGACCTGTGGAAGCTTCTGCGAGTTTTCCCTTCACAAATACTGCAGTAACACTAAGAAGGCTTAGGACCGCTCCTGAAGTACTGACTTGCTTGCCGGTCTGTCTCACATCAGCAGTGTGTACACTACTGTGTAATAATCATTATTAGCTTTATTAGCTTGTAAACCAGACTTCTCTGAAGAGAATTTGGTAAGATGAACATGAGGTAAAAATTTCATTCAGCAAAAAGTGCAATACGTGTGGTACTTTTTTATTTTTTGTTTATGATCTCTTTAATCCAGGGGTATTAGTCTCTGCTTTGAGGAAAATGCACTAGTTCAGCAGTTTCCAGTTGGGCGAATGTGTCTCTAGTATTTACATGCAACTGACATGCTGGTCCCTGTAAGTCAAATAGAGCATGTTAATATAAGAGAAAGAGGAGGGGGAAAACACTTAAAATTCCTCAGGAGCTCCACTGACCAGCCCCAGCTCCACCACCACCACCTCTACTCTGGCCTACACTGCCCTCCTACTACCTTGGGATCAGGAAAGGGGACTGTTCTCTACACCACCTTCCAGAATCCACTGAAGGGGACAACAGAGAAACACCAGGAGGACTAGAGATGAAACTGAATTACTGTTGAAGTGACAGGAGCAAAACCCCTTCCTGTCAGACTTTTGTCCCCTAGGAAAGAAAAAAATCCTTCCTCAGAAATCAAGAATTCCCAAGTGTTTAAATCATGTCCTGGTGTTGGGGAGGCAGGACTGAAGTCAGCCCTTGCCTTTTGTGCTTTGTTCTGACTCGAGTGATGGGGGCTCTGCACTGTTACGGGGAGCCCCCATGGAGTAATGCCCTCCACCCTGCCCTGACCTCTTCCTCCTCCCCCCTTGCACTGGGTGTTGTTCTACCTAAGGCAGGGAACTCATGAAGACCTCTGCCTAGTTGTTAGAATTGGGAAGGAGAACATGTTCGCAGCTGGAGAGTGATTAGGTGATAAGCCAGAAGCTACGGCAAGGTGAAAAATAGCAGCTTCCAGTGGCAGTTGGCCATGCCCACACACATGCCAGGTATGAGAGCATGAGAACAGCCTTTGATTAGGAGTGGACTGCTCAGCACCCAGGACACAGTAGGTGCTGCCTCCTTTGCGGGGTTCTCCAACCTCTGGGCAAGCCCCAGTTTCTGAAGTGTATTGGGATCAGCTTTTTCTGTTCTGGATTACACTTAAAAACCTATATAAGCTCCCTATATTGGTTTAAAGAAAATTAATTTTTAGGTAACATTTTCACATTCCTCCCCCTTTAGAGACAATACATAGTGTCACTTGACAACATTGGTCCCAGTGAGCAGCTGCGGAATCCCTGTGCCGGGACTGACCTTTGCTGCATTTGTACCCCACACTGGGCTGCCTCTACTGCCTCCTCGGAAGCCACCCAAGCCGCTCGGTCTCTTTGTGCCTAGACATCAAAGGTAAAAACTGGAGAACAGGTAGTAAGTTGGAGTCATGTACAGGCAGGGATATTTGATCATTTTGTTGCTTCTGGAAAATTTTTTTACAGAACTTATTATCTTCAGAGTGAATTTGTGGAAGACAAAAGCAGTATCACCTATCTGCCTCTGTTTTTAAACTGGACAAAACATTTTAAAAAGTATATTTATATATATATATCCCTTAAGCTTCTATAGTCTGTCCTCCCCGGCCTGTGACACAGGCAAATGACTTTGAGACTCCAGAGCTTTTTTTGTCTGCCCTCAAAGGTGGCTGGGTGGACAAGGCAGTGGCCTTTCAGGGCCCCTTTGGCCCTAGAGTCTCTGGTCTTCAATACCCTCTCACATATTTGTTCTACTGGGTTTTTTCCAATTAAGTAAACCTGGCTGACTTCTAACAGACTCCCAGCCATCCTAGTTGCACCACCATCTTATGTTCACATATTATCTGGGTGGATTTCAACACATTTGGCAGATGGGACATATACTGTTGCATATATTGAGACAGGGAGCAGCACTGCTGCCCAGGGACAATCAGTGATAGTTTTGATGATCCCTCCCCAAATATTCAGTTTGCCTGTCCAAAAGGAGCACTCACTTCTATTTTTAACTTACCAAGCATTTTCAAGTCATCTCTTATAATCCTCACAACAATTCTATGAAATTGGTTGGGGAGGTACTGTCCCAGCTGAGGAAACCAAAGCTCTCTGAGTGTGTACGTGACTTATCTGAGGTCACAGAACTCTAGTTAAAAGTGGAGGAGCCAGTACATGCACTTGCTTCTCGAAGGCTTCTCTTTCCCCTCAGTAGTACCTGATTATTTTTATAAGCAAACAGCTATATAAACCCAATGTGGCCAAGCACCGGGTGAACGTAACATTGTCCCCACAGCTGCACTCTCCACTGGGCAGCTGCCTGGCTTTGGGAGAGAGGTGCCCTTCAGCAGCTGTCCAGGTGCCCTGCATTGGTCCAGGCTGAGGTAGACAAAACCCACAAACTGACCATCCCCTCAGTGCCCATTAAACTACAGAATTTTAGGGTCACATCAAAGACCCTACCTTTTCCAAGTTACACACACACAGTGATTCCCTGTGGAAGCATATGATGGAAGGACACACCCTTGATTGCCAAGGGGCCAAGTTGCAGGGCATCAGCCCACCACTGCTGCAGGTCACTCATTCAAACCCAGGGAAGGGGGCTACTCAAGAGAAGAATCACAAACTCCACTGTTACCTGAAGAAGGGCGTAAGGTTCTTTACAGTGAAATCTAGTCAATTTGTGCTTATTAGACACTTTTAGGATTAAAAAACAGTAACATGCTTTGAATGAATACTTTGACTTTTCAGAGCCAAAGAGGGTGGGTAACAGGGAGCTTTAAAAATAGAATTACAAAACAACATCCTGGAAAAATATGACCCCAGATGGAAAAATGTTACATTAGCAAATACAGATAGCTGGGACTTGCCGCTGGCTGGGTGATGCCTCTCTTTCAAGATTTGCTAAGACAAGAGAATTCAAGTGGTACCTTCCCTCTACTGAGGGTGAAAGAAATCTGCCTTCACCAAAATCTCTGAAGGGGAAAGAAGCAGAGAGAAAACAGAGGTTGACTTCTCTTTAGGGACTGCAATTTAAGAAATAAAAGTAATAGAAGTATTTGCACTTTCTAGAAAGGGCAAGATTATTTGCTTATTTCTGAAGGGAGAAGGGTGGTCTTGATGGATGTGTGGTCTGTGAAAGAATTACTTTTGATAAAGTTAATTGTAGTTATTTTTTCCGTGTGCTGTTTTTTAATTACTAAGAAAATTTGGTGAGTTCAATAGCTTTGGTATTTTGAGTGCAAATCATAATAGCTCCAATGTGAAAAAAAATCAAAGTGTAACATGTCAATGTTAGAAAATTGCCTAAAATGCAGTTTAATAAATGATCTTTGTACCAAACGGTAATTTAAATGGGGTAATTTTCTGCAAGGAAAATGTACTGTTTTTATGTTTCCAACCCTCTTGAATTAAAATAAAAACAACTTGTTTTCTAAGAGCCTGGCTGATATGAATGTGAGACTAATGAGATTGGTCTCTACCTCATGGGGCCTTGGATGGAATTTTAAAAGTGTGTGGAAGGTGGTTGTGTTCTCTAAGTTCTGGTGCTCATTTCAGGCTTCAGAAAAGGACAGTGGATAATATGTTCTCATTGACGTCAGCAGGGTAAATAATACCTTGCTCTGAATCGCCTGAGTACACGTTCGCCACTGTGGATCGCTGACGGAAGCGCTGCTAACCGCAGCCTGCACACGGACAGGGCCCCGCTGGGCCTAATTAATGCTCCTTGATTTAGAGTCTCAGGACAAAGCCCATCAACCCAGGTAGTCTGGGCCAGTGCCTTCTGCTGCAGTAGGAGGAGGGAGTCAGGCACATGGGGATGTTGTCCGGGGCTGTCCAGCTCCTCCAGAACAGACAAGGCTGCAAAGCCAGTGGTGGGACAGAGGGGGGAGGTGCTCCAAGCTGCCAGGAAAGTCAGCAAGACACTGCTATTGAGTCACAATGTCACTTCTGCTCTGAAGTCTGCCAAAGGCCCACACTGCCAATTCACACACACCATGGACTCCTCAGTCCACTATCCTTTGAGACCCAACTGTGCCCTCAGGGTGCTAGAGAATCCATTTGTCAAGCTGTTCTCATGAGTTCTGGACTTTGTGTGGTGCCAGACCCTGAGTGAAAGGGCAGGATTAAACCCTGCTTTCTGGCAGCAAGTTCAACTGGAGATTTGGTTTCACTCAAGCTGTCCCAAAAGCCCATGTTATATAGAACCAAGGGAGTTCCCAAACAAGAATTGTCACTGGCTGGCTGCAGTATTGGACACAGAGGGTTGCAGCAGGCAGAGGCTGCACAGCACAGGGCTGAAGGAGCCAAGTCCCCTCCTTGGGTTGCAAGGCCTAGCACTGCTCTCAGGCACTCATTTCCTGTCTTCAAAATGGCTCTTACCCCTTGGTTACTGGAGAAATCAGTTTCACTGTTTTTTTTGTTTCTTTTTTTTTTTAAGGAAAGCACTAAGTTTTAGTAACTGTGTTTTGCAAACTTTCGCCTTTTCACCAAATTTCTCCATCATTTTTAATGTGTTGCCAAAAGCAACCCCAGTGCCCTAGGGTATAGGCAATAACAGACTTGCCAGCAGACACTGGCCAGAGACGCTCAGCAGCCAGTCAGGTCCCCACACCCCACACTTTTCCAACCATCCTTCACTTCGGTGGCCCTTGTGAGGTGAAGGCTTCATGCAGCAGAGAAGAAGAGTGGACCAGCTCAGCTCCAGCTCTGGGGCCTCTGCCTGGATGAGCTTAGGTACAGAAGAGGCTGGCAGTGCCCACACCTCCAAAGTCCTCTGTCACCACACAGCTAGGAGTGAACAGACCCAAGGTTCTATTCTTGGCTAATTGCTCCTTTCTGCCTAATTCTTGAATTGAAGCATCATAGATCCTATTAACATGCTGAGAAATCTTTGGACTCTCTTCCCAGAAAGACACCTTCATAGACATATACTAGAGATTTACACAATTTCCAGGGAGGAGCTGGTTCCTGAATCCCACCCATGAACCAATGTTAAGAACCCCTGACTTAGCATCCAGGCTTTCCTGAGTTCTTACAAGGACCCTCCATGTTAAGAGGTTCTAATCCTTCCCTGGGTAGATCCAGGTAAGGAGGAGCCACCTGCTCTGCCTCCAAGGACACTGTGGGAAGTAGTTCTGGACTTTGCACACCAAAAAAAATTTTTTTAATATGTTTTGGTTGTCAATGGACCTCTACTTCATTTATTTATATGTGGTCCTGAGACTTGAACCCAGTGCCTCACACATGCTAGGCAAGTGCTCTACCACTGAGCTACAACCCCAGCCCTGTACACTAAATCTTGAGTGCTATGTGGCTATAAAAGAAATGGACTTGCTCAGACAGTAGCTGCTCCACCCTGGGAGCTGAAGAGAGAGCATGGCTCAGCCCTCAAATCTTGACATCAAAGGTCGAGCAGCTGTCAAGAAGTGGAACATTATGCATGGATTATCTTGGGCAATGGCCATGAATAGGTAACTGACCTGAGGGGTTGGATGCTCACCTCACACCTCAGACAAGGAGCCAACACTGGCACACCTGCCTCTACCCAGATGTACTACTTGGATCTCAAATCTGAGAAGCTGAACTTGAAGTCAGGCAGAGTGAGGAACTTGCTGTGTCTCTAGCCACAGGTCTTTCTAACAAGCCTTCTGCTACAGATGTCCCATCCCACACTGTGGCTGAATTCCTCTGCACTTGGTCGCAAATGCCCATAGGCTGCACTGACCCCTTCCTCTGTGTCTGTCTGCAGGGCTTTCCTAAGAATGACTGACTCAAACTGGCCTGAAATTGACCGAGAGAGGCTCCAAGTCTGGGTACAACAAGAAAGGTGCCTGGAGGGGAGGTGCCTGGAGACACTGCACATGGGAAGCAGGCTTCCCTTGGAGCCAGGCCTCAGAGCTGGCTGGACAGAAAGTTCAGAAAATTTGGCCCAAAGAAAATGAGACATTAGGGATTTAGCCTCTCCACAGGAGAGTTGAGTCACTCTCCCCATCAGATAGACAAGAGTTTTTCTGACTTGCTCTCCCTCTACATTATTCCTCAAGATGGAATAATGGGGCCTAAAATGCCCTAAAGGGCTGCCTGGACAATTGGTGATGGGATAGGACACAACTGAATTGAGAAAAAGCCACCAAGGTCTTTCCTTGAAATAAACAATGCAAAGGACTTTCAGTTCAGTCTCGCCTGTTTTTGGCCTGGGACCCAGTGGAATATAGAGAAACTCAAATGTCTTAACAAGTTCCCTGTGCCAGCAAAGTGAAGACCAAGCGTCAGGCAGGCAGTCAGGGGGTCCCAGGGATGAAAGGCAGAGCAATGAGCAAGACTGGGAAAGGGACCAAGCCTTCCAACCTTCAGAGCAGCCACCCTGCCAGAAAGGCACTCCAGGTAGGGTGGAGTCTACCCCTTCTCTGCCAGGGACAAGAACCTCTGACCCACTCCTCAGCCCCTGGCACTGCTCCCAGTCCTGCCACTAATCTGGGAAAATCATTGTAAAGACTCATTTCCAATGGTAACGTTCAACGAACATAGACTGTTCTCCAAGTTTATTGTGAGATTCAAACTCGGCCTGGCATGGCACAGCCCTCTAACATGAGAGCATCCATACAACTCCACCAACTCCCCTTGAGAACTAGTTACAGCATTCACTTTACCTGTCTTGCTTTAACTCTTGACTGTCCCAATTCCAGACTAGAAAATGGCTGCTTAGTGCCTGTGAAATCTCTCATCAGATTTAAGAAAAGTACCCTTTTCTGAGCACTTACTCTATGATTTCTTAAAATAAGTTCTGAGCTGCAGAACATAACAGCATAAGCCATCCTTGAGAACCTATATCCCATCTAGAAGGCCTTTTTCATCCCTCCGAATGGAGAGGGATTCGAAGACCCAGGGGACTCTTCCTGTGCACAGACAGTCCGTAAGCCCCCACAGTAGTAAAGACCCAGAAAGGAGGCCAGAGCCTAAGGTAACAGCTTCTGCTGGCCCTCTGACCTACTTCTGACCTCTAGGTGGCTTTTGGGATCCAAACACCCTAGCTGGAGGGCTTCTGGGGGTGATGGTATCAGACATCCCTGGGCTTTGGGTCTTTGTTATCAGTCCTATGACTGAACTCCTATAGTCTTTGGGTTCAAGATAATTAATCCTCTGGCCAAAGGTTGGGCCCTTGAGCTCCTACCTCAGGCATCTACATCTGGGCTCCTTAGAATTTGACGCCCTCAGGGAGCAATTACACACCCCAGCCCTCAATCTAAGGTATGAGCCTTCCTGAGAGGCAGAATGGCCCCCACTTCAGGCTAGCTGAAACAGCTTTGTTCATTAGGTTTAGATCTGAGAAAAAAAAAGACAGATGCCGGAAGTTACAGGCCAGAGACAGACCCCAGGGACCCAAGTGACTCTCTGAGTCTGGGAAAATTGGAAAAACAGAAAAGCAGAACCAAGGGTAGAAGCAAGGGATACAGAAGGTGCAGCCTTAGCTGAGACCCAAGGTACAGGGACTGGGTTCTGGTCAATGAACAGGACACACTGTCCAAAGAAGAAAAGGAAGAGGAGGGTGGATCCCGTAAACCAGTGTCTGCACCCATTATTTATGGATGCTTCACTTGATTTGAGTATCCAAACCTAGGCTCAGCACGGAGACTGAATGTCCCTCACAGCTGCTCCTTCCTGCAATAACAAGACTGACATCACTGTTGTCAGGGTAATGGTGTTTTGATTAAAATCATGTGACAGCTACTTCAGATTCAATAAACAAATCCCCTGTTAACCCTTGCCTGAAAGGCCCGCCAGCATCACTGTCATCAGAAAATAACTTGCAAACCATCCAGGAGAGAGTAGCTGAGCTGACCTTAGGGAGGCAGGGTGTGGGAGGTGACCCACACTGCTCCCTGGCAGGTCCTGCATGAGGGATACATAACATCAAGTGTACAGAAGGCTCTGTAGACTTCAATAGTCCATCTCCAAGGCACTGTGGAGGCACCCTTCAAGAGGACCCAGATCTCAACCCATGAGATCCCTTTTGGACCAAGCAGCATGCACAACCCTGGGATGTCAAATAGTTTCCTCAGGACCATGAGGCCAAAAACTGAGGACAGTTCCCAGGGCTGTAACAACTGGATTTTCATTCTTACCCCACTGTATCTGGGGCAGATGCAGTGTGTTTGCTGTGCACCAGAGACAGTGAGGAGTTAAGAACAATTTCTGGTTTGCAATTGGATGACTTCCTGGATCACTCACTTGGCCGCTGGCCCCTGACATACAGGCCTCTGCCTGGCAACAGCCAATTCCCTTTCCATCTTACCCTCATTTTCTTTAAATGAAACAAATATAGGGAAGGCTCCCCAAGTCAAGGGACAAATTTGTCTGGGTTTAATGAACTGCAGCCCAGAGGCCTAGCACAGCTAGCCTCTAGGGGAAAGTTCATGACCATCTGAAACAAATG